ATGCTTCATCTCCCCCTCCAATTTCCCCCAACTCCTTTCTCCTCTCCTTCTCTCAATGTCCTCTGTGTTACTCCTTATGCTCCACAAGTAAGTGAAGCCATTATGATAATTGACTCTCTCTGCTTGACTTATTTCACTCAGCATAATCTCTTCCAGTCCCGTCCATGTTGATACAAAAGTTGGGTATTCATCCTTTCTGATGGAGGCATAATACTCCATTGTATATATGGACCATATCTTCTTTATCCACTGTAAAGATTTTTAATGTCTAACACATTGGTGGTCAAGTACTCTTTTAAGAAAAAAATTGGTAGTACAAAGATAGTCATTTTACAGGTAGGTAGTTTGAAAGTAAAAAAAAAAAACTTAAAAATTAAACAAAGACTATTTCACACTCTATTAGAATATGTTTCCATTCAACTTTTAAAAAAGTGAATAGTCATGTAAATTATTATAATCATTAGTTCAGAGTAAGAAATTCTCCCTACAAAACATATTTTGCAAAACAAAATATTCCAAAAAGGAAATGGTAATACAACAAATACTTAAAATACCCAAATTTTTCTATCAACTTCAAACTTACCACAGAGTTCTAAATTTTTATTTATTTATTTATTTTAAAGATTTTATTTATTTATTTGACAGATAGAGATCACAAGTAGGCAGAGAAGCAGGCGGAGAGAGAAAAGGAAGCAGTCTCCCCGCTGAGCAGAGAGCCTGATGCAGGGCTCAATCCCAGGACCCTGGGATCACGACCTGAGCCGAAGACAGAGGCTTTAACCCACTAAGCCACCCAGGTGCCCCGTAAATTTTTATTTTTAACTTGATGATCATTAATGCTTGGAACATTACTTGTGAAAATTAACATTTTTATTCCTCAAAATAGTTCTTCCAACAATTTTCCTGCTTCTCTCAGTGATACCACTACTTTCAGCTAGAAATTTCAATTAGCACCAATAGCTACATTTCCCTTTACTATGGCCATAACTACTCAATTATTAACTCATTTCAACATTTGCATTTCTCTCATATACACGCTATCACTCAAATGTTTTAGCTTGTAATAGTTTAAAATGGTTTCCCTGTCTCCATTGCTCTACTCAAATTCATTCAACCAATCTTCTTGATCAATTTCACTCTACCGAGCAAAAATATCTCAGTGCCTCTGCATTCTTCTCTAAGGGGAAAAAAAAACCCCAAACGCCCAGCCTTCAAAGACAAATTCTGGTCCCCAGCCTACATTTCCAATCTTATCTCTTGCAAGTTCTGTCAGGGAATGCCCCATTCCATCCTAACCAATTTCCTTTCTCATCTGTTGAGGTTTCATTAGCCTTTGTGCTTTGGTTTGTACCACTGCCAGTATATGGGATTCCTTTCTAGGCTATTCTGTCTACTAAAAACATTCCCATCCTCTATGCTTCCACACCTAATCAATCTCTGACCCCTATAACCTGCTATATTTTTCATCATATATTTATACCCATTGATATTACATGATCTATGTGACTGATATACGCATCTATCTACCTATCTATACATATGAACACACACACACACACACTCACACATACACATTCCACACACAGGCATTTCTTTCTTGTCTGTCTTCCTACTATAATATAAACTCCATGAAGACAGAGACTTTATCCTGTTCACAATATAGTCCTAGTACCCAAAACAGTGTCCATATTTACAAGAAATTCCATAAAGTTGTTAAATGAAGTAGTACTTAACTAGAAATTAAATACAGTGGTAGTTGCTCAAATGTTACCTCTTCTAGACAAATATATCTCTTCCTCTGAAATCACTTAGTACTGACAGCCTGCATTTTTCATACAATTTATATACAATGTTATATGAAGGTAAACAAACATGTCCTGGTCTTCAGGTAACTCTAAGTTTGAAGAAACTCTATATTTAAGTTTGGAGAAAAAAATAGACACATTCTAACACTTAGAGATACTTATTTTCAAAATCGTATTTTAATATATTTTAAATGACAGTGTTAACCTCATCTCTTTTGGTAACAAAATTTTAAAAATATGTGTGGCTTGTTATCACCAGCAGAAAAGCACATGTTCTAAAAAGGTTTAATTTAAGAAAAAACAGAAAAATACAGTGAAGTAATTAAATTACCTGCTATGTCATCTACAATCTCTGTATATGTTCTTCTAGCTATGTCAAGAAATTCATTTATGTTGGATCTCACTGCATAGCACTTCTGAGTCCTCATGTGCAGGCATCCTTTCATGTATCTTGCATCATCATTAATTATGGTTTTAATTTTTTCAAGTATGATTCCAAACCTAAAAAAGAACATTATAGGCAATAAGGCAAATGATTATTTTAATTTGTAATTTGAGTCACAGTTAATGACATATTTTCTTGGAATAAACAATTTTAAATATAACAACTTTTTCTTGAAATCTATTGAAAATTATTTAAATAATTTAGCAATATATGTATATTACATTACATAAACTAGAACCATGACTATAAAAATTTTTAAATATTCTGCCAATCAGGACTAGTCTCTTAAAGTAACATGAAGTCACCAGGAACAATTCTATAACTGCTAAAAAGCTCTCCCAAGGACGCCTGGGTGGCCCAGTCAGTTAAGTGTCTGCCTTTGGCTCAGGTCATGATCCCAGAGTCTTGGTAAACTGTCTAGCATTAGGCTCCTTGCTCAGCAGGGAGCCTGCTTCTCCCTCCACCTGCTGCTCCCCTTGCTGGTGCTCTCTCCCTGACAAATAAATAAAATCTTTCTTAAAAAATCTCCCAAATTAAACCCATGACTGTCCCTATGAGTATAAAACATATCCCTGAAGAACTGTTATAAAAATCCTGGCTTTGTGTTCATTAACTCAGTCAACATTTACTTATAGCATGTATGATCACTGTGTTCGGTGCACAGATCCAAAGAAGGATTAAGTGTTCGGTTCTTGCCTTCAGGTGGGGTCAGACAAACTAAACACATATTGTAAGACAGTGTAACAGAAACCTCACAATAATCAGTAATTAAGTACAGTGATCATGCAAACCAAAATTCTCGCAACACCTATTTTCCTAACCTTCTGTTTTATTCTGTTCTGTATGTTATTTGTAATTCTGTTTTATTATTAACCTCAGTTTGTGGCTCACAAAAGATGTGAATCCTGAATCAGTAAAATAACAGTTCTTAAGCATTACATGTCTTTTGGTCAAAAAGCTAGATGTCATTGCTAAAAACAATATTAAAATTAAACTGTATTTAGATCTCTTGTTCAATATTTATACCTACTATTTTTTGGTTACATCAAGCCCTTTATGATTTACAAGAGAAATATGTACTTTCATATTTGCAAGTCTTTCCATGGGGAATGGCTAAAAGAAGAAATATCAAAATTGTGTATGATTTCAATTTTTAATATTATTCTAATTGCCTATTAATACAAAAACTCAATGTGCTGTTACCCTATTTATGGGTACTTATAAGATGTAATGTATAATTATAACTTTGATGAATAGTTTAAAGATTGTTAACCAGAGTTCAAGTAATTGTTCTATTGATTACAGTTAGAGTCCTTAAAATCATTCATGATCAGGAAGAAAGGAATAATTAGCACGGATATTTAATTAACAGTTGAGTGACAAAGACCTCTTATCTTCCAAGGAACCACAGTAAGCTCTTAATAAAGGCGTGCTACAGTTCCTCAAAACAATCTGTTAAAAAATAAAATAAAGTTGGTTAAAAACAATAAACTATAACACTATTCAAACATAACATTTTACATTTAATACTTGCAGTTTACCAAGAGTTTTCTTGCTTCATCTCATTTGTATACTCAAAGATATTTTAGGTATGTAGGTGAGGACAGATGGTACCTTTCCAATTTTCCAGATAAAGAGCACCTGACTAATAAAGGGCATCCACTGCTTTACTATTATGACTTTAGTTTTTCTTGTCTTTCAACTAATTTTTAGCATTCAACTACTTATTAAAGTTAGGAATTTAAACAGCTATCATTGTACATTTAGAGTACTCTGCATATCATTCCAAAATGTGGGTTTTAAGTATGCATTAAACTAAAAAAGTGCTTTGCATATTTATAAATAGAGCAGTTTCTCCATTCTTATATGGCAAAAGTAGAAGTTTAATTTTGCTTAATGGAAACTATAAGTGGTCACTATTTAAATAACTAGAAACAAGAGGAAAACAGTTAACTTTTTTTAACTTAAAAATTTTTTCATTTATTTAAAGTTGATTAATTAATATACAGTGTATTATTAGCTTCAGAGGTAGAGTTTCATGATTCATCAGTTGCATGTAACACCCAGTGCTCATTACATCAAGTGTCCTCCTTAATGACCACCCAATTATCCCTTCCCCCTATCCACTCCACTCCAGTAACCCCCAGTTTGTTCCCTGTAGTTAAGAGTCTCTTATGGTTTGCTTCGCTCTCCTTTTTCATCTTATTTTACTTTTCCTTCCCTTCCCCTAGGTTCATCTGTTTTGTTTTATAAATTCCACACGAATGAAATTATATGATATTTGCCCTTCTCTAACTGACTTCTTTCATTCAGGGTAATAACCTCTAATTCCATCTACATGGTTGCAAATGACAAGATTTAATTGTTTCTGATGGCTGAGTAATATTTCATTGTATATATACACTGCATCTTCTTTACCCATTCATTTGTCGGTGGATATCTGGGCTCTTTTCATAGTTTGGCTATTGTGGACATTACTGCTATAAACATCAGGGTTCATGTGTCCTTTCGAATCACTGTATCCTCTGGAAAAATACCTAGTAGTACAATTGCTGGGTAATAGGGTAGCTCTATTTTTAACTTTTTGAGGAACCTCCATACTGTTTTCCAGAGTGGCTGCACCAGCTTGCATTCCTACCATCAGTTTAAGAAGATTCCCCTTTCTCTGCATTCTCACCACCATTTGTTGTTTCCTCACTTGTTAATTTTAGCCATCCTGACTGGTGTGAGGTGGTATCTCATTGTGGTTTGATTTGTATTTCCCTGATGCTGAATGATGCTGAACATCTTTTCATATGTCTGTTGGCTATTTGGAAGTCTTCTTGGAGAAATTCATAAAAGCATAAAGAAAAATATTTAAATTGCTTATAATTCTACCACCCTTCCAAATAAATTACTTAAATATTATGGTATATTTCCTGTCATTTCCTCAAATAAAAAAAATTATCATTGCACATTCCTTTTCTCCCCTACTTAATACTATATCACAAGAATTTTAATAGCATACATTTTAATAAGTCATAATATTTTACCCTTTAGAAAACAAACAGTCTCTTCCCCTAATTATTGGAGGTCTATACTACTTAGAATTTCTAATATAAATCATGTTACAATGACCATAACTGGGCATAAATTGTGGTCAGTATTTCTTGAGTTCTTTTGGACAGATTTCTAGTATTGTAACACTGTCAAAAGACAGATGTTGTAAAACTTCCCTGTGAAGTATGTACAATTTGTACTCCTACCAGCTGTCTATGAAGTCTGTCTCACTCTTCTCTTAGTAGCAGTAAATTGGATCCATTAAGGGGAAAAACAAACAAAAAAACCTAAAATTTTGCTTCTTTTGTATATTAATGACTTTAATTTGTATTTCTTTGACTAAGAGTAAGGTTGAACATGTTTGGTACTATTTATTAACCTCTTTGATTTTCATTTTGGGGGCATTTTCTGTATTTCTATTGGTATTCCAGTATTCTCTTATGAAATTACATGAGTTTTATGACAGAAATTAATATTTTATCTGTCAAATGCTACAAATTTTTCCTAACTTTCTTTGGCTTTTACTTTCCTTTGACATATCAAAGCTTCAGATTTGGGGCACCTGGGTGGCTCAGCGGGTTAAGCCTCTGCCTTTGGCTCAGGGCATGTTCCCAGGGCCCTGGGATCAAGCTCCACATTGGGCTCCCTGCTCAGCAGGGAGCCTGCTTCCTCCTCTCTCTCTGCCTGCCTCTCTGCCTACTTGTGATCTGTCTGTCAAATAAATAAATAAAATCATTTTTTTAAAAAAAGCTTCAAATTTGTGTTTTATTGAATCTATCAATTTTGGGGGATGATTTATTATACCTCTCTCATTCTAAGAAAGATGACTTTTTTACATTTTTTGTCAAATTGCTTTCATTATATATTTTTTAGAATGAAATCTACAACAAATTCTTCCAGATTTTTCATTATTTTTTTCTTTTAAAAAAGCAGTTCTTCCTTGTCACCTTAAGTTTTAAAAAATGTTTTGCACAGGGGTTCCTGGCTGGCTCAGTCAGCAGAGCATGGGGACTCTTGATCTCAGGGCTGTGAGTTATAGACCCATGTTGGGTAAAGAGATTACTTAAATAAATAAATGTTTAAAAAAAGTTTTGCACAATAGAATATTTACAAACACATTAGAAAATCACATCAGAAATATTTCAGGTAAGAGTAATCAACGAATGAAATGAAATCACTGGGTGAAAGTTTAATGAGGAACAGGATATTTACATAGTCTCAAAGTATCTCTCCACAGATTACTTAATAACTTTACAGTGAAGAAATGGATCAAAGTTAATATCACCAGAATGGGGAATGGGGAATGACATCATGTGTCATCATGACATCATGATGTGAGGTACTGAGAAAAATACAACATTGCTCATAGAATATTACTGCTAAATATAATAAGCTGAATTTAATCATGAGAAAATAACCACACAAATTGAGGAATATTCTATAAAATAAGATACTTTTCAAGATGTTAATATAATGAAAGACAAAGAAAGGATGAGAAACCTTAAGCTGAAAAGAAGTATAAAGAAACATGACATCAGGGGCTTCAGGGTGGCTCAGTCAGTTAAGCATCTGCCTTCCAATTAGGTCACGATCCCAGGATCCTGGGATTAGCCCCACGTCAGGCTTCCTGCTCAACAGGGAGTCTGCTTCTCCTTCTCTCTCTGCCCCTCCCCTTGCTCATGCTCTCTCCTGCTCACTTACTCTCCCTCAATAAATTAATAAAATCTTTTTTAAAATGACATTAAATTTCCCTGATAACTAGTGATGATGAACATTTTTTCATTAGTCTGTTGGCCATTTGTATGTCTTCTTTGGAGAAGTGTCTATTCATGTCTTCTGCCCATTTTTTGACATGATTATGTGTTTTTTGGGTGTTGAGTTTGAGGAGTTCTTTATAGATCTTGGATATTAGCCCTTTGTCTGTAGTGTCATTTGCGAATATCTTCTCCCATTTCATGGGTTGCCTCTTTGTTTGGTTGACTGTTTCCTTTGGTGTACAGAAGCTTTTTATCTTGATGAAATCACAAAAGTTTATTAGCCATCAGGGAAATTCAAATCAAAACCACGTTGCGATATCACCTTACACCAGTTAGAACAGCCAAAAGCAATAGGACTGGAAACAAGTGTTGGAGAGGATGTAGAGAAAGGGGAACCCTCTTACACTGTTGGTAGGAATGCAATTTGGTGCAGCCACTTTGGAAAACAATGTGGAGATTCCTCAAAAAATTAAAAACAGAGTTACCCTATGACTCTGCAATTGTACTACTGGGTATTTACCCCAAAGATACAGATGTAGTGAAAAGAAGGGCCATATGTACCCTAATGTTCAAAACAGCAATGTCCACAATTGCCAAACTGTGGAAAGAACCAACATGCCCTTCAACAGACAAGTGGATAAAGATGTGGCCCATATATACAATGGGATATGATGCAGCCATCAAAAAGGATGAATACCCAACTTTTCTATCAACATGGACAGGACTGGAGGAGATTATGCTGAATGAAATAAGTCAAACAGAGAGAGTCAATTATCATATGGTTTCACTTACTTGTGGTGCATAAGGAATAACATGGAGGACATTAAGAGAAAGAAAGGAAAAGTGAATTGGGAGAAACTGGAGAGGGAGATAAAGCATGATAGACTGTGGACTCTGAAAAACAAACTGAGGGTTTTGGAAGGGGGGGATGGTTGAGCCTGGTTGTGGGTATTAAGGAGGGCACGTACGACCCAGAGCGCTGGGTGTGGTGTATAAACAATGAATCTTGGAATACTGAAAAAAATAAAATTAAATTAAGATGTTAAAAAAATGACATTAAAAAAAAAGACATTAAATACAATGAATGGTCCTGGACTGGACCCTGTATCAAGAAAAAAAATCCATTAAAAATTAGTAAAACAATTAGAAATTTTGAGTATGGACTATATATAATAATATTGGATCAATTTTAAATATCCTAAATTTTTAAATTATATTGTGGTTATGTAAGAGAACACTTTTGATCTTAGGATATACACATGTTAGTATTTAGGTACTGCAATTTTCAAATAGTTGAATAAGAGTAATAATAAGAATATAATATGTAGTGAGTGCTGTGTGTATATGGAAAGAATTTGGGAATTCATTATTCTATTCTTGTAACTTTATCTAAATTTGAAATTTTTTGAAATAAAAAGTTTTTTAAAAAAATTAAGGCTACCAATGTTTTGTACAATATACACCATATAAATTACCTTTAAAGGATCCACAAGTTCCAAGGTATGTTTTAGGTATATTAGATTTGTTATCTTTGATTCCGCTGCATTAACCTATTAAAATAAAGATCCAAATGTGGACACCATAAATATACAAGAATGGATTTTCTCTTGAACATTCTACACTTACCATACTCATACATTTTTATTTATCAACATACCCAGTACGCCAGCATAGACAGAAGTTACAGTTACTGACACATCACAATAAGCCTAGTGCACTATTTTCCTGGAAGTCTGACAATATGAAGAGTTCACCTCATTGTATTCAACTTCCATTTCTACTTCAGCCCCTCAGGTCCAGCTTAACCTAAGTGGTGATAGGAGGTAGAGTTCAATCCTGAGCAGTACTAAGAGACTAATGTTAATTGAAGAAGGCACAAAGGGTATTTGTGAAAGATGATATTTGAAAAGCTTAATCTGAAACTCCCAGGCAATTACAGAACAACACAAAGCTCCCTCACTGGTTCCTGTTTGCGTGAGTAAAACAATTTTCAGAGTTCCAGTTGTCCAAATTAATTAGGTTTTCAAAATAAAGCAACATCAACATTTAAAATTTCATAAATAAAATTTTAAAAATTAAATTGTAGTATCTCTAGAACAAAAGAGTGGTATTAAACCTTGGGAAATGAAGAATATTTTGTGAATGGACAAATCTACCAATACTGACAAGGAGTTTTAGGATATTACATTATGATATAATAATGTACTTGATATAGTGTTTTTTCTTTTTGCAGTCTCCTGACCTATATCCCTATTGCACAATACCTAGACTGTTTGGTGACTACATGAACCAATTTAGAAGAAATACCAAAATGAATGTTGCTAGCCCCAAAACAAGTTACTGCAGACTTTCTTACAATGGATCTCTGAAACTGGAAGATTAAAAATAAATAATATTCACCAAACAGAAGACAACTATCACCCCTGTTACCAAAGGAGAATATCTTACAAAAATACCATTTTACCTTTGAAGAAGAACAAGATAGGAGGACTAAGTCTAATAAATATCAGCCTATAATAAAGTTAGACCAATTAAGAAATGGTAGTATCAGCATAAGGACAGGCAGAACAATCAATGCAACAGAATAAGGAATCTAGGAACAGACTCAAACATATGATTTCAGCCAAACATTTCATTTATAACAACGGATGACTAAAGAGTAATGGAGAAAGGACAGTTTTTTCTACAAATGGTGCCAATTAGATTACGAATCTGTATGAAAAAAAGGAAATGTGGTCCCTTCCTCACACCAAACACAAATACCAATTCCATATGGATTATACGTCTAAATACAAGAGGTAAAACAATAAAACATCTGGAATATAACAAAGAAGAGTATCTTCACTATCCTGGGTGTTCTTACCAACTTTAATAAATTTGATAACTAATGAATTACAGGGCCAAACTAATAGCCAAAGTTATTTATATCTCTCCTATGGTCTGGCTTTTGTCAATGCACAGATTGTCATATTACAAACCCTGCAATCACAAACTCCAATGTCTGTGTTTTGCTTCCTACTCAGTAGGGGACATTCCCGCCTAATAACTACCCACTACTGTACTAATGTTTTCCCCTCACTCCTTCTGACTCCTGACCATGTGACCCTTTGTGGCATGATTTCTCCTCTCAAAATTATAAGTAATAAAAATCTTTTAATGGCCTCAGCCTCTCCATGTCATCACTTAGTCATTTCCATAAATTAAAATCCCCTGGGTACAATCAAGCCACTGGGGTAGGTAAAGACTTCTTATGCAGGATACAACAACCACAATAAAAGAAAAAACATAAACTAGCCTACATTTAGATTAAGAACTTCTAAAAAGGCAGAGAAAGACAATGAGGATCTTACTTATATGTAGAATCTAAAAACAAAAAAACAAGCTCATAATGCAGAGAACACAATGGGGGCTGCCAGAAAGGCGGTAGGGGGTGGGTAAAATGGAAGGAGGTCAAACCTCCAGATATAAAATAAATAAGTAATGAGGATTTAATGGACAGCATGGTGACTACAGTTAATAATACTATATTGCATATTTGAAAGTTGCTGAGAGAGTAGATCTTAAAAGTCCTCACCAAAAAAAAAAAAAAAAAAAAAATTAAGCATATATGGGGATGGGTGTTAAGTAAACTTAATGTGGCAATCATTTTACAATACATACAAATAACAAATCATAAAAAAAAAGAACTTCTGGGGTGCCTGGGTGGCTCAGTGGGTTAAAGCCTCTGCCTTTGGCTCAGGTCATGATCCCAGGGTCCTGGGATCAAGCCCTACATTGGGCTCTCTGCTCAGCAGGGGGCCTGCTTCCCTCTCTCTCTCTCTGCCTGACTCTCTGCCTACTTCTGATCTCTGTCAAATAAATAAATAAAATCTTTCAAAAAAAAAAAAAAGAACTTTTATTTATCAAAAGGCACCATTGATCTAGGATAGGTTCTCCAAAAGGCAACTCAGAGAAATTAGAATTTGAGGACATATAATTTATTTGAAAAGTAATTCCAGTAAGTACAGGCAAGAGAATAGGAAAGGGCAGCAATACAAGATACACTGATGAGGAGGAGTCAAGATGGCAGAGAAGTAGCAGGCTGAGACTACAGCCTGCTAAAGTACATCAGGTAGCAGGAGATCAGCTAGATAGCTTATCAAACCATTGCAAACACCTACAAATCCAAACGGAGATTGAAGAGAAGAAGAACAGCAATTCTAGAAACAGAAAATTGACCACTTCTGAAAGGTAGGACTGGCGGAGAAGTGAATCCAAAGCAACGGGAAGTTAGACCGTGGGGGGAGGGGCCGGCTCCGGCAAACTGCGGAGCAACGGAGCACAAAATCAGGACTTTTAAAAGTCTGCTCCACTGAGGGACATAGCTCCAGAGGCTAAACCGGGGTGAAGCCCACGCAGGGCCAGCGTGGCCCTAGGTCCCGCAGGGTCACAGAAGGATAGGGGCTATCTGAGTGTCGCAGAGCTCACAATTATTAGACCAGGGAAGTCGGCGACAGAGACAGAGCCGAGGAGTGAGCTCTCAGCTCCGGATTATCTTGAACCGGTCGCAGGCTCGGTGAGCTCAGAGCGTGGCCAGAGACCAGGGAGATGGGAGTGATTGGGCTCTTTTCTCTGAGGGCGCACTGAGGGGTGGGGCCCCGAGCTCTCGGCTCCTCTGGGCCGGAGACTGGGAGGCTGCCAATTTCATTCCTGTCCTCTGGAACTCTACGGAAAGCGTTCAGGGGACAAAAGCTCCCGAAAGCGAACCCGAGCTGATTATTCAGCCAGGCCCCTGGTAAGGGGAGGCAATTCCACCTGGGGCAAAGACACTTGAGAATCACTACAACAGGCCCCTCCCCCAGAAGATCAACAAGAAATCCAGCCAGGACCAAGTTCACCTACCAAGGAGAGCGGCGGAATTCCAGAGGAGGAGAAAGCAAAGCACGGAACTCATGGCTTTCTCCCCATGATTCTTTAGTCTTGCAGTTAATTTAATTTTTTTTAAATTTTATTTATCTTTTTCTTCTGCTAAATTTTTTTCTAACTTTGACCCTTTTCTTTTTTAATGTTTTTTAACTAGTTTATCTAATATGTATATATATGTATATATATTTTTCTTTTTTATATTTTTTCTTTATTCATTTTCTTTTTTTAATTGTTTCTATTTTTTCTTTTTTTTTCTGAACCTCTTTTTTTTTTTAATATTTTATTTATTTGACAGAGAGAAACCACAACTAGGCAGAGAGGCAGGCAGAGAGAGAGGAGGAAGCAGGCTCGCCGTGGAGCAGAAAGCCCGATGCGGGGCTCAATCCCAGGACCCTGGGACCACGACCCGAGCCGAAGGCAGAGGCTTTAACCCACTGAGCCACCCAGGCGCCCCTCTGAACCTCTTTTTATCCCCTTTCTCCCCCCCACGATTTAGGATCTCTTCTGATTTGGTTAAAGCGTATTTTCCTGGGGACTTTGCCACACTTTTAGTATTTTACTTCCTCCTTCATATACTCTTATCTGGACAAAATGACTAGGCAGGAAAATTCACCACAAAAAAAGGAACAAGAAGCAGTACCGAAGGCTAGGGACCTAATCAATACAGACACTGGTAATATGTCAGATATAGAGTTCAGAGTGACGATTCTCAAGGTTCTAGCTGGGCTCGAAAAAGGCATGGAAGATATTAGAGAAACCCTCTCGGGAGATATAAAAGCCCTTTCTGGAGAAATAAAAGAACTAAAATCTAACCAAGTTAAAATAAAAAAAGCTACTACTGAGGTGCAATCAAAAATGGAGGCTCTCACTGCTAGGATAAATGAGGCAGAAGAAAGAATTAGCGATATAGAAGACCAAATGACAGAGAATAAAGAAGCTGAGCAAAAGAGGGACAAACAGCTACTGGACCACGAGGGGAGAATTCGAGAGATAAGTGACACCATAAGACGAAACAACATTAGAATAATTGGGATTCCAGAAGAAGAAGAAAGAGAGAGGGGAGCAGAAGGTATATTGGAGAGAATTATTGGAGAGAATTTCCCTAATATGGCAAAGGGAACAAGCATCAAAATCCAGGAGGTGCAGAGAACCCCCCTCAAAATCAACAAGAATAGGTCCACACCCCATCACCTAATAGTAAAATTTACAAGTCTTAGTGACAAAGAGAAAATCCTGAAAGCAGCCCAGGAAAAGAAGTCTGTAACATACAATGGTAAAAGTATTAGATTGGCAGCAGACTTATCCACAGAGACCTGGTGTGCCAGAAAGAGCTGGCATGATATACTCAGAGCACTAAACGAGAAAAACATGCAGCCAAGAATACTATATCCAGCTAGGCTATCATTGAAAATACAAGGAGAGATAAAAAGCTTCCAGGACAAACAAAAACTGAAAGAATTTGCAAACACCCAACCAGCTCTACAGGAAATATTGAAAGGGGTCCTCTAAGCAAAGAGAGAGCCTAAAAGTAGTAGATCAGAAAGGAAGAGAGACAATATACAGTAACAGGCACCTTACAGGCCATACAATGGCACTAAATTCATATCTCTCAATAGTTACCCTGAATGGTAATGGGCTAAATGCC